TAGCCAATCCCGCTGGTGGTGAGGATGCCCACATGTGCAGCGAATCCCCCAGTGCTCAGCTGGCAGAGCCCTGGGAACAGCAGAGGATCCTGAGGGCAGCTGTACCCCATAATTGCCACTTCACCCCCCCCAAAAGGCTCCTACACCCCCGTGATGAAGCAGCCACCACTGCCCCTTGGCTCTCCTCCCGTCTGACCCATCAAGCCTCATTTCCACACCAGAAAAGGACCCAGGCATCCTGCCCCCCCAGCCTGAGCCATCCTGGCAGCCAAGCCAAAAGCTGGAGATGATGCCAAGGGTCCTGCAGAGCCCCATGGCACGCTAGGGGCCGGATGCATCCCCACCCAGCGTGGGGGGGAAACCACACCTGGAGGCAAACAATCGCCACCGAGTGTTTATTCGTGCTGTCAGTGGCCCCTGGGGGCCTCCTGCGAGATCCCCTTCCTTCCCCTCAGTCCTCCAGGTTGCGGAAAGCCGTCTGCATCTCCTCATTGAGCTGGGCATAATCCGCGGTGATCTTGGCCTCGCCGTCCTTCACGGGGTCCTGAGGACACGGTGGGCCGTGGGTGGCTGTCCCCTCCCCACCGCCGCTGCATCCCCCAGGCCAGGGCCAGGAGCTGTGCCTGTGCCACCAGTGCCCTACCTTGAACTTCATGGCGCTCAGCTTGTACATGATGTCCCCCAGGTGCTCGCGGATGGTGGCCCAGGTGACCTTGCGCTCGGCCTGCGCCGTGGCCTCCACGGCATGCCGGGCCAGCTCGTAGAAGGTGATCATGTTGTGCAGCATCCCCACTGTCTTGTAGAAGGGGCAGAACCTGGGAGGGCAGGGGCCGGGGGTCGGGCTGCCCGGGCTGCCCCGGGGCAGGAAGTAGGGGCCCGGGCCCGCCGGGGCTGGGGGGCCTCGTGGGTACCTGTCGTAGGGCGAGTAGCCATTCTGCTGCAGGAAATCGTCCTTGATGAGCTTGGCCACCTCCAGAGTGATCTTGTCGGCCTCGGCCAGGGAGGCCTGAGGTGGAGGGCGCGTTAAGGTGCCCCTGAGCTCCCCTTCTGCCCTTGCACCTTCCCAGCCCCTATCCCCCCTCCCCAGCCTTCCTCCCAGCCCGTGACCCCATCCCCATCCCATCTT